TTTTTTTTTTGTTTACCTATATATTGACTACTATTAACAAAATTAATACATAATTTTATCTTACTTTAAAAGACAGATAATGTAACTGGTAAAATATAAATGTTGCAAAGGTGATTAATATTAAAAATATCACCTTTAAAACACTCTCCTGTAAAATTAGTAAGTTTTGAGATTATACAGTTTTAATGCGAGAAGACGATATGTAGGATTGGTAACAGTGGAACGTATGAAAAGAGTGTGGAACGAAGCATTTAGATGTGAGTGAGAGAAAACGGAAAGAAAGGGAAAAGAGAATGACAGACAGAATGACAAAGAAGATGACGAAGACGGTTAAAAAATGAGGAAGGCATAATAAAAATGTTAATTAATTTTTAAATTATTATTATACCAGAAGATTTTGGAACAGTGTAACTTTTATTTTATGTGCTGTGATCCCTGTTTTACACATATTTATTTCAATTTAAATTATTTCAAACTAAAAACCTATTTCATTAAATTGTGGCTTTTTGAAATTTCCAAACCTTAATTTTACAACGATTAACCTAAATAATATCTTTGTTCATTATTTATTTAAGATGTCAACTACTAAAAATGTAAATTACTTTTGTCTCGAACTAGAACGAGTTCATTTAAATAATTATCTTAATTATATCTTCAGGATTAACGTTGATTGCGAATCTCTATGTCACTGTTTTCGAATCAGCTATACCCGTGCAATGCTGCTGGTAGGACCTCTTTTGAGTCCGCGCGTTTAGGTACCACCACCCCCTGGGCGGCCCGACGGGCTGCCGTACCGAGACGGCCGACGTTTCAGAGCCTTCGAGGCGAATCGAAGGCTCCCTCGGCTGGGCGTCCTTGGGGTGAGCCGCGCCGTCTGGTTGTTGTGTTGACCGCGGTAGCCCCCCTACCTCATCCGGGTTCTGACCTCGGAGGGGATCGGACGTCGGGTGTAAGAGTGCAGGGGAGTCGTTTAGTGGGTGGGTCCTAAAATCCTTGGGCCCGCGGTCTGCTCACAACACCATGCAGATCGTTGAGTCTCACATACCCCGCGCGCCCCTTTTGCGCGGGGACCTCGTAGGAGGTTCGGCCATCTACCCGAAAAAAAAAAAAAAAGGTACCACCACCCCGCCTATTTCTGCCGTGAAGCAGATTACTGCTTCAAACCGAAACGCATTTGCATTTGCCAAGGGTGGGGTAGCCGTTGTAACTATACTGAGACCTTAGAACTTATATCTCAAGGTGGGTGGCTCATTTACGTTGTAGATGTCTTTAGGCTCCAGTAACCACTTAACATCCGGTGGGCTGTGAGCTTGTCCACCTATTTAATCAATAAAAAAAAAAACTCAACGGTCCGTGCTAGATAATCAACAGAGGACCGTGATCGCGTTCTGTGTTGATTACGATTAGAGTTCGAGGAGCAAACTGACCGATAGACACAACCCGCTGAGTTTCTCTCCGAATCTTCTCGGTGGAACGCGATCTCGATCCAGTGGTAGATTCTGCAAACCACTGCTTTTGATAGTATTAGCAAATTCTTGCAGGTTGAACCTGTGAGCTCACTAACCCGTCCGCGCGAAGCTGGAATAGCTCCTTAGGTTACCAGCGAATAGGTAGAGGGGAAAATTAAGTCAAGAAGACGGTTCAGTCTAGACGCACGCCGCCTCGAAGGTGATGGAGCGGTGTTCTCATGTCGCTCTGACTGTAACAGCAAGATGCGGACGATGCATTATCGCAACGTTGTGGCGGAACACACCCTTATGCAGAGACTGTGGAACACTAAATTCGGCCTACCAACTTTTGGAGGTAGTTGCCGCGACCTAGCCTTCGCCAACAGCTGATCCGTTAAAATTGACGAAACGAGCGTGGAAACTGAAAAGATCATCCAATTCGATACTAAGGTATACATGACAGGAGGCGTTCTCCAAGACCCAAGAATTAGTAGAGCTCGGTATTTCTATAACGGTACCTCAAGGCCCTATCTCCAGATTAGCATCCTTAGTCTTTTGAACAATAATGCCTTTACACGCATATATTTATTGCACTTACGTATGTAATTCTGTCATCAGACATGCATAAGTGTTGGGATACGGAAACATCCAAAGTTACCTACAAGTTATCTAAAGCTAGAAAAGCTTGATTAATTTTTTTTTTACCCATTTGTTGGTAGCCTCAGAGGCTATTTCAGCTACGCTCGGACAAGTAGGTGAGCTCAGGGGCTCGACCTAAGAGAATTTGCCAACACTAGCCCTAGCAAGAGCAGTGCTTCGCAGAATCTACCACCAGATCGGGATCGCGGTCCACTGAGAAGAGCCGGTGAGAAACTCAGTGGGCTGTGTCTATGGGTTGATGGGTTGATGGCTGTATGAGTTAGTTCACACGTTCGCAAGAATTCAACGAGAACGGTGACCGGTGCTTGAGAGGCCTAAAAGCACCGAGAGTGGATCCGGGAGATCCGACAAGACATGTTTCGGGCGACGGAGGCTTTGCGTTGCCTCGTCGTGGTCGGATAAGAGTAATTAGTGGCGGCAACGGTTTTCGTGTCGCGCCGCTTTGTTGAAGTAACATTTTGACGCTTCCTTTAAGATACTTACGTATCGGTACTAGATTTAGGTCGTCGTGAAGGTCCACATTCCTCACATACCACGGTGCTCCGACGGCCATCCTGCAGAAACGGGATTGGATTACTTGGAGGGAGTTAATGTATGTATGGGCCGCGTGAGCAAACACTACAATTGCAAAAAAGCTTGACTCTTTGGTACAGCTCTAGTTGTTCACTCGTTTACCTTGGCGATAGCATTTTGTAAGATTATTATAATATGAGTGATTACAAAAGATGCCAATCTAATTTTTTTAAGTAAATTGGCCACGTAGTAGACACGTGTGCAGCTTAAAGATAGGAAGACCGCTGTAATACATAGGATTCTTTGATCTGATCTCTAAACGTTGACAGAGGAATTTGCGGAATACTTGATTTTAAATGTTAACAGGAGCTTACAGATAACACAACGTTTTGAGGAGTATTTAGAGGAGGAGGAGTATTTAGCTAGGTCTCACTCCTTTGAGGGGTATTTAGATAGGAGTAGGATCTAACTTGTATCTCTCAAAACGTTGTGTTATCTGTAAGCTCCTGTTAACATTTAAGATCAAGTAGTCCGCGAGTAAATTTGCTCATCTAAGACGAAGAGTCAATTAAATTCACAGGAGAAATTGCAGATCGTCTTCAAGAGTAAACTAAGAGTTCCTTACAGAGTTGGTTCTATGACAATCTGTTGATTGGTTCATGTTGCAGTAGTGGCATGCCAATATAAACGAAGCAGGTGACCCAATTGGAATGTTTGGCAACGTTATTTGGTAATACCACTTGTTGATGTTGGATGTTGGATGAGGGTTTCATTCACTGTTTGAGAAACAAATTGTCCCGTTTTAAAAGAGAAGGCTAGTATACCACAAACCAATTCCGCCAAGATTTATAAATTTAGTGGTAGAAGCTCGCACGATCCTTCCGAACTCATCACCGTGAATATTTTTTTTAGCCATGCGATCTGGTTTGAATGTTGGGAAGGCTATTATACTTTCATGTCTGGCAGGGGTAACCGCGTTGTGATGTTTATGAGCCCTTAATCACTTTACCCAGGGGAGTCGTGAGCTCACATATATCTATAGAAAAATAAAAATAAATAGTAAAATTATGTAGTGTGCAGAAATAAACGATATGTCCACAGAATAATTAATGGAGACAAAATTTACATTTCTTGTAGGGCCTTACAAGTAGCGTCGAATTTAAATATGTCCATATTGACACAGTACCAGATTTAAGTTTTTTGGCTTAAATGAAATCGTAGCCTGTGGGCGGTTATTGCAGCTTACTAAATCGTAGCGTAAATACCACCAACCTTGGACATAGAATCGAGTCCCATCGTTCTCCGGCCCTTCTTTCAGTCACCTGGGGTCGGCGCAACATGTTTTCTCTTTGCATACTTCTTTATCATATACCATTTCTTCGCTCCCTCTCACACATGAGGCCTATAAAATCAAAGGCAGCTAAATTAAATTCTGTCAAATATTCAGGTAAACTAAAAAAATCGCCCCTAAGCACGTCATTACGGGCCCTCCTGATCTGTCGAAGTACTGCTCTTACTAGAGCCAGTGTTAGCAACACTCCCGGTTTGAGAAACTGAAATAACTTTGTTCGGGTAGCTCCGATATTCTTTACTTTAAAGCAGATTTATAAAGAATGAGAATATTACAAATAATCTGGATTTCAAATGATAAAACTTCGTTTATATTTGAGTACAGAGTAAAGATAAAATTGTTGAACTGAATTTGCTAGAGATTTAGCTGCATTTGTTATAACATGAAAATAAAAAAGCGTGTCCAACTAACTAAACAAGATGGCGCCATAGTTAATCCATTTTACTACATTTTAAGGCGTTTAGCTGCCTTTGATTTTATAGGCCTCACATATCTTCTTTCACGCAATCCATCCATTTCTTCTTAGGTCTATCTCTTTCACGTTCATAGTTAACACTCTCTTACCAACCTCATTGTCATTTCGTCTCATAGTATCGAGTCCCATCTAAACAGTAATATAAATGCTTAAAGGCAAAAAAAGCAGGAAAGTGATATCGATCAGTGTGGGCTCAAAACACATCATGATCGGCATAACAATTCAAATTAAACTAGAGTTAATTTAATAACCTCAACGTGACAACGTCTCAATGACAATAGAAAGTTATTTGTGTTTTTACCTAATGAAATCGGGTAAGATCTTTTATTTACAACAAAGATATGGATTCAAGAGTCACTTGCGGGCATTCAACGGTACCACGCTCGCTGATTACGGCCCTGTTCAGATGTTTTTCTTGAAAAACGTCTATCGGAAACACGGTCGTCTCTTTCTTGTTCGTATAGATGTGTAGCGTTGTCTCGTTTTATTTCACGCGGAGCTCACGATTTTGAAATGCAGCCGACCTTTACCTATTCGCAAGAGCAAAGACGTATAACACCAGTTTACATTTAAAATTCAATACGCACGTATGTGTTTATGGTTAAGGCGAATGTAATTCAAATTCACGATGTTATTCGGCTGAATTACTGTTTTCTTTTGTTTTTTTTTTTTGTTTTTTCGCTTCATAACAAAATGGTGAGATGGATCACGCCATTTGTGAAGCAGGTTAGTGAGTTTTTGTTATTATTTAAGTAATGGTTCGAAATATGTTTTCCAAAATCCAAAACTACATTAAAGACTAATAGTATAATATGAGCGTTAGGATATTTAATAAACTACCAATGAAATTAAGAGACATAGACGATTTTCATTTTAAGAAAAAAACTAAAAGATAATCTTATTAGTGAAAATTATTATCACATAAATGATTTTCTTAGGGACGACATTGAAAATAAATGGATTTTTTAATTATTAGGTGAATTCGATATCTGAAATTTACGAATCTACTTTCAAAATTTTCCTACGCAAAAAAAAAAAAACTATTTTGGGAACACAATAAATACATTTAGCACTCACGAAGTCTTCCATTTCAATATTAAATATTATTTGCAGTAAATGTCACGGAAAATTGCTTGATGTTGACATCCAGCAAGGTGGCAGTACCCTTATGACCGGTCCAGGACCTTGAGTCACCTTGGGCGAGCCCTATGTTCATCAGTGTGGTACAACTGTGATCTGATGACGTCACATAAAAAGCAGGTTTTTTTTGTTGCCCGTGTAGGCAAACGAGCATACGGCCCATCTGATGGTGAGTGGTTACAGTCGCCCATGGACTTCAGCAATGCCAGGCAGCGTTAAGCAGCTGCAATAATTATATAATTGCAATATAAGTTACAATATTGCGACCTTAACGATAGAAAATACGTTTTTAATATTGTTTTTTATAAATGAAAGATAGCACTATCGACAAGAAGCGTATAATAGCCGGCAAACTTCTTGAGCATTTGTTGACGTAGTGGGGGTAAGTTCGCGCATGGTACACTCACGTGCAAAAACATTATTTACTCTGCGTCATAATGCAATTAAATTATTAAAATCAACATATGTATTTTTTTATATATTTATTAGAACATGAACAAAAAATGTAGGTTAATAATTGTAATAATTTAATCTTGGGGTAAAATAGATATAGATATTATATTGAGATAGATATTGAGTCAAAACTAGAGCTGTTGCCAGGTCTTGGTTCAGTTGAAGCGAAGCTGGTATTTGTATTTCTTTTTTCGTTATCATAATCTTGACCATCATCATCATCACTGTTTTCATTACCCGAGTCGCTATCATCGTGATGAGTCGACATAAGGCTCATCGGTGTAGTTTACAACTCGGTCGATTTGGTCTTCTTTTTTGTCTATAATTAATTATTTTTTGAAGATATTCGATTCGTAGTACTTAATCGAATGTAACTTTTTTCAATTACCAGCTTCCGATTATTTTCTGTTCTTTTTTTCCATCTAAAGCCTAGCTCTTTCCTAATACGTCGTAAGCTTCATTCCGAGCCATTAAAATTTATATCTTCTTTAAAATTTTCGAAGCCTTTCTACGGTACGGAGTTTCGCTGCTTGTTATGTAGTTATTATGATTACATCTTTTTATTACAGATTGAACGAAACTATCCATTCCGGTAACTTTCTTCTTCCCTGATCTTTTCTTCCCCGGAGTCTTAAACACGGCGAGCAAGCCAGAGCCTTTAGCTTCCTTAATAATGCACCTAACAGTCCTCACTGATGGTTTTGTTACTTCCGAAGTCTGTTTTAATTTTTCCATATCATTCTTCCCCTGTTTTATAATGAAGCAATATACGTCGTACACAAATTTTCTACCCTTTCTTTTAAGTACTACACCAGTTTGTCACGGCATAGTGTATGTTTTATAAAAAATCAACAAACACTCAACAAATAGCAATGGCAACAAAGTCCACAAGCAATTAGGGTGAGTTATGTAAATGTATGTTTCATGAATATTAAAAACGGACACGTTTGAACGAATCGGACTAACAATTCCATTATTTGTTTATCCTGTTCACGCTGGTCAGGATATTAGAGAAGAGTTGTAAAACTATTGAATGAATGAATGATGAATGATTTATTTTATTTCAGACAACAATAAGTCCATATGTGTGCATAGTATCATTGAAACATACTCATAATTAACAAAACCAATCAAATAAAAAAGATACATTTATTAAAAGTATTATCTGTTGAATAAATTTCAAATATTCCATTCAACTGATACTTACTTCGAACCAACCATTATTAACTATTGTATGGTCATGGATTCTTGATGCGCGTACAGTTTTTCGAATTATAAACGGACGTTTAGAAGTCGTTGAAAATGCCCATCAAAGATTCCGTTATATCCAAACAAACATTAACACTTTGGCTGCAGCAAGTCAAATTATAAGCTAATAAATTAATAAAGCTTCATCTGGTGCGGGGGCGGGTCTAAATGCGCCCCCAATGATATTTCCACCAGTGCGTGACAGGTCTTTCTCGATCCTTAAGTCAGAACGCGTTTAAGCCGTGTTCCTACTCGGTCGACTCTACCCCATGGTTAGCAATCGAAGTAAGTTGCCCCTTCATAACAAGGTGAACCTCTACAAAACTGGCATACGTTCCATCATGACCTATGCAAGTGTAGTGTTCGCTCACGCGGCCCATACCCACATTAACTCTCTCCAGGTCATCCAATCCCATTTCTGCAGGATAGCCGTCGAAGCACCGTGGTATGTGAGGAATGTAGACCTTCACGACGACCTAAATCTAAAATCGATACGTAAGTATCTTAGAGAAGCGTCAGAATGCTACTTTGAAAAAGCAGCGCGGCACGATAACCCTCTTATCGTGGCCACCGCTAACTACATATCCGACCCAGGCGGCGGGGCAAAGCAAAGCCATCGTCGCCCAAGACATGTCTTGTCGGATCCCCCGGGTCCACTCTCGGTGCTTTTAGGCTCTTCAACCACCAGTCACTGGCCTCGTCGAACTCGTTGACCCCGACGAAGAATTCGACGTGTGAATTAGCCCATATATATACACTGAGTTTCTCGCTGGGTCTTTTCAGTGGATCGGGATTCCGATCCGGTAGTAGATTCAGCGAAGCACTGCTCTTGCTAGGGCTTGTGTTAGCAATTCTCTGGCAGGTTGAGCCGGAGAGCTCACCTACCGGTCTGCGCGAAGTTGGAATAGTCCCTTAGGCTACTAACGAATAGGCAGGAAATCTCGACCCGCCAGCACTAGGATAAATTAAAATGCTATCATAAAGATCACTGCATAGTATAAAACAAAGTCGCTTTCTCTGTCCCTATATCTGTCTGTCCCTATGTATGCTTAAATCTTTAAAACTACGCAACGGATTTTGATGCGGTTTTTTTTAATAGATAGAGTGATTGAAGAGAAAGGTTTATATGTATTAACATCCCATAAATAGTGGAGATATCAATAATAAATTACAGTTTCCGAAGCAAAGCAAGGGCGGGTCGCTAGTAATATATAGGTATATTTCTTCTGTGCATGTGTTTGTCACTGAATTCCTCCGGCTAGACCGATTTGAATGTTTTTTTTGTATGCGTTTGGGTGACACCCTGGATGGTTTAGATTTACAAATCAGCCCGGAAGATGGCGCTGCAGTCGGTATCTAGGCTATTTATCTTTCTTAGAAATAATTTATACGGCAAAACAACGTTTGCCGGGCCAACTAGTAACTTTGTCCATAATGTTTAAAATTTATAGAACATAGTCGTCGGTATGGAGATTTTACAAACACCTGAAATTATCGGTCCGCACCGGCGGGAGGGACATAGTTTTCTTTGTGCGCACCGGCTTAAAGTACCGCGGCGGGCCAATATGGGCCTGAAGTGAAACAAGGCAGTGAAGGTGTTAATCAGTACCAAGCTACTAAAAGTGCTCTGAGGAATTGTTCGAGATGATACCAACGTCTCGTTTTTACCATCGCACCGCCCGCCACCGGAGTAGAGTTCATCCATACTACCTGGAGCCACTGCGGTCATCCACAGTGCGTTTCCAGAGATCTTTTTTGCCACGTACCATCCGGCTATGGAATGAGCTCCCCTCCACGGTGTTTTCCGAGCGCTATGACATGTCCTTCTTTAAAAGAGGCTTGTGGAGAGTATTAAGCGGTAGGCAGCGGCTTGGCTCTGCCCCTGGCATTGCTGAAGTCCATGGGCGGCGGTAACCACTCACCATCAGGTGGGCCGTACGCTCGTCTGCCTACAAGGGCAATAAAAAAAATCGTGTTGGAATACATTAGAAAAGTTCATTGCTTTTCAACCAGTCAGAGAATACTTTCTGAGGGAGTCACTGATCATACGAATGGTTTTAACTTTACAGTGCTTCGTAACATGCGGTGTGGCTATCAGCATGGCGCAGTTCGGTCTCGTCTTTGGTATCACCGCGATCCTGATACCGCAGCTTCAATCACAAAAACCGGTAATGCTGATCGACGAATCCACCGAGTCTTGGATAGGTTTGTATTTTTTGCGTAATCACTGGTGATAGGACGTCCTGCTAGTCGGCACGGGTAGGTACCACCGCCCTGCCTATTTCAGCCGTGAAGCAGTAATACGTTTCGGTTTGAAGGGTGGGGCAGGCGTTGTACTGTAAAAACGGAGACTTTACAACTCATGTCTCCAGGCAGGTGGGGCGGCATTTACGCTGTAGACGTTTATGAGCTCCAGTAACCACTTAACACCAGCTGTGCTGTGAGCTCGTCCACATATCTAACAAAAAAAATATTCACGGAACTTCACAAGCCAACACGTAAGAGACCTAGCGTATTGAGCGGAGAGGGATTTTTTGAGTCCGCATGCATAAATACCATCCATTCTATCTTTCTATAAATTTTTGGGGGATAGAAGCAGTACGATTCTGGTAAATGTGACGAATACTCGTACAAGTAATGGATTAAATTGAAAACAAAAAAAAATAACTGTAGAATTTGTAACCAGACATTTAGGGACATATGCCACAAATGATGAATGATTAGATGAATTTTTATTGTTCAACGTTCATATTCCTTTGAAATAAGGAATTCTTAGCTGAGCCTAGTTCGACGCGGATGCATTGATTTCTTTGTTTGTTCTTTAAATCGATTTACAATAAATAAAAAATAGTACTAAAGACCATATAGACCCTCTTTAATGAAACATGCTTGTCTATATAGTGTCTTTTATTTATATCTCAATCAGTTTTATTAAAGTCTTTTACATGTAAATTTCCTTCATCCTTCTTTTTGGCAATGTTATCTGTCAAGTAAAGGAGGAATTACTTTTTCGACTTCCTTCAAATAGTTTGAAGTCTTTCTGCTTAGATGTGGCTTTTTTAGGCGCCACAGTAGGTACTCTTATTTTAATTTGGACATGGATTGATCTTGTCTAGTCTAAATTGTGTAACGTATGTAACTAACACCTTTTCAAATGAACTGGATGAGTGCGGCAGATGTAGGCTGAACGTCCCCATTCGTGCTCACAATACGTCTAACCGTCTAAAAGATAATAATAATTACCGGTTTCATATCAAAAACATTCAAACAACAATATTTAATATGCAATATGAAATTTTAAGTTTTATAGCTTTTTGACATTTTTATGTCATATTTTGGTTTTATTGCACGCTAATAACCTTAAAATTTTAATAGATTTCAATAGTTTTACGGAAATTTTACAATGACATGGGAAAAACCGGCCTACAAATCATAATGTATTTTTTGGGCAGGTTAATGCTAGAGTTCGATCGTAACTCTAGCAGGGTTGCCCCTTTCCTATATTTTCTAGTTACGATATTCATTATTGTCTTTAATTTAGACTACCTGCGATACCAAATCTTATATTAAAGCTACAAATCATAACATTGTTACGCCGGTAAGAGTAACGCCATCTATCGCTGAATAGTCGAACGAATATCGAAGGATCTATTAACGCCTAGAACGCTCGAGAAGTACAACGCCATCTATTTAACGATAGCGGAAACTACTACTAGAGATGTGTAGAATATTCTCGATAATTCTAGGGATCAGGTATCGGCTATAAAAGCGTTGTAGAGATGGCACGCAGTCAGTCAGTAATCGGGACTACTCGAAGCGAAATAGCGAACGGATCACCTGAAGCGAAGCGGAACAAGCGAATTGAGAGTTTTCAAGTGTTTGTTGTGCGTTTTAAGTGATCTAAGTGTTGAATACAGTTTTTAGTTGTACTTGGGTGAAATTTTACTTATCCCGAACCCCAGCGCGTAACAATATGACTACATTAAAATAAATGAGAAATTAAAGTAAACATTTATTATACCAGAATTTACTATACCAATCATAAACTCAGCTTAAGGGCCAATATGAGTTTTAGCAGTAGGTATAGTTCCAACTCTTTAGCGCAGAGGCCTTGAAGTCATGTTACCGTCTTCTGTCGCCGTGCCGGTTTTGTGTCCCACGGAGGTACGGCGCAAGGCAGAAGCGAGAAGAGGAACGCTGTCCGCTAAATGTGACGCCTAGCCCATCTGTATTTCCCATTTAAGTTCTTTCATATTCGAGATTAGGACTTGGGTTGTTGAGCGTCAATAAGTTTTAGTCAAATAGACTTCAACATACACTGCTACCGCCCTCAGAGCACAGCAAGACGAGGCTCCATCCGGACCCGCAACTGAAGTCGCGCAAATTAAAGCCATCGTAGTCCAATGTACATAATAATATGTGATGTGCGGTGCACTTTTATCGCTATTTATATATCAGTAAAAACGTACTGAAGCCATTTTATATAGCATAGAATAGTATAGTGTCATCCCTGCCCTGGTAAAACTGGAAAGGCCTCCGGATCACCTCAAACATAAAAAAGCAGTGTCATAAAATGAACTTACTCGGATAGGTACTACCAACCTAACTTGTAGAATCAACGATTTTTGCGGTAACATTAGGTAGGTTAGCAATTTAGTTGAGACTTGGACCTTGGGTGGGTGGATTTTTTTTATGATTGAAAGATTACTGGTGGCCCGGAGGCCCTTCCAGTTTCACCAGGACAGGTGGGTGAGCAAGGCTCAGCCAGAAGGGGTGAAATTTGCTAACATCAGCCCGAGCGCCTCCAAAGAAGACCTAACAACTCAAGAGCAATTGCTTCGCGAACGAGCAAAGGCTCAGCCAGGAGGGGTGGGATTTGCTAACAGCTACCCGAGCGCCTCCGAAGGAGACCTAACAACTCAAGAGTAGCTGCTTCGCGAATGAATCTACTACCGGATCGGAATCGCAACCCGCCGAGAAGATCCGGCGAGAAACTCAGCGGGCTGATGCATGAGTTAGGTTGCACGTCGACCTCTTTGTCGAGTTCGATGAGTACGGTTACCGGGGTCCCTAAGCCTGCTCCTGGTGTTAGAGCTGCAGACGTCTAATGCAAAGGTTATTAGATCGAACGGATCCGTAAGGATTTGATGGATCCGTAATAAGGAGGGTGGATGTCTACGGGCTCGCATTTAACAACAGGCCAACTTTGGGTTCATCTATACTTTTACAGTAATCAAAAAATGATCATTTATTTGTGTTTTATACAATTTATTATTTTAACATGGGGTTATACTATCAGGGGGGATTTACTATCAGGGGGCAATTATGGTTTTCCTGATATTCTTTACCAGACCGATCTGCTTCACCTAAGAGTTTAATTCAGATGCTATGGAGTTCTTGGGTAGTTCACAGGTTGCGTCTCAGCGCCTATCCAGATCGTTAATCCACTATTTTGTTTCCCTTAAAACTGGTTGACTCTAGCTAAATGGTCTATTATTGCTGTCTACCTCATTTAGTTAAGAGTTGTGTACGTAACTATGTACATATGTATGCAAGGGATTTGGTGTGTCAACTGTAAAAAAATATGCACGTACATATCTCCTAGGCACGTTTACCGTTTTTTGATAGCACATTTTTCTGATGAAGATAATAGTCCGTGATAAAGATAAGAATTGATAGGCAGTTTTAACGTTTAACAGTTTTTATGTTCAAGTTAAGTACTGTTCGTAATGATTTTTCAGACGTGACATTGAATAGCCAGTTTGTATTATATACAAAAATCTAAGTTAAGTGTGTTTGTACATCTGATAAAAGTCGACCTGCTTTTGATTATGATGTCTAGGATAGTATTTACTACAATAACTTTTGCTGCAAAATTTGTGTGATCACTATTGGGATTGTCTATAAGATCGTTTCATAAATTCGATCGTGATTCTAATCGATTTTCATGTCTACGTTTCAGCTGCTATACCTGGTTTCGCGCTGTTATTTGGTAACTTCACTATACCTACCATCATGGGCAAATATGGACGAAAAGTCGCCAACATCATCAGTGTTCTGCCCGTAATCGTCGGCTGGCTGTTAATCACAAGCGCCTCCAACACATACTTCATCTTGGCTGCAAGATTTCTTCAAGGGATCTCTATGGGAATGAGCACATCATTGGGACCGATCTTGATTGGCGAATACACCAGCCCAAAGTACCGTGGAGCTTTTTTATCGAGTCTTTGCTTAGTTATGGCGATGGCTACTTTGACGGTGCATTCTGTCGGCTCATATGTGACATGGCAATGGACTGCCTTCGTGTGTTCAGTAATAACTTTCATAGATTTATTAATTGTAATTAATTCTCCTGAATCACCTAGTTGGTTGGCTGATCAAGGGAAATATGAAGACTGCAGAAAAGTGTTTATTTGGTTGCGGGGTGATACCGAAAATGAGGAATTAGAGAAAATGATTGAGGCTAGCAAAATTGTTAGGGAGTCTAAAGCGGACGTCGTCATATCAGATACGTTCGTTAAAAATCTTAAAGCCAAATTTGCTGTTGGATTCGAAGCGTTAAGACGAAAAGAGTTTTACAAACCGATATTCGTAATGGTTCACGTTTATACTTTAGGTGAATGGGCAGGGATCAATATCCTCTCCCCTTATATCGTTGAGGTTGCAGAAGCTCTTGTAGACAAAGATAAAATGAATGTACCATTATTGGTAGTGACCGTAGATGCTCAGAGAATAATTATGAACGCTGCTGCAATATATTTTATGACCAAATTTAGGCGGAGAGTAATTCTGATAAGTACAACAATGCTTTGCGTCGCTGTTTTGCTTCTTATTTCAGCTTACAGTTACGCCAAAACGTCAAACTTGTTACCATTCGATCATCCGTCCATAGGCGCGATTTTGTTACACGTTCATATGTTCACAATAGCAACAGGTTCGGTGCCCCTACCGATGACAATATCAGGCGAAATATTCCCATTACAATTCCGAAGCGTCTCGGGTGCTTTGAGCGCAGTATTCTTTTCTTTTCATCTCTTCATCACCGTAAAAACATACCGGTATTTACGCAATTCTTTAGGATTACACGGAACGTATTTAATATACGCAGCTATTGTGACATATTGCTTGGTCGTGAGCTGGATATTTTTACCGGAGACCAAAGACAGGACTCTACAGGAAATTGAAGATGAATTTAGAGGAGGGCCTCCGACGAGGGATAGAGATGAAAAGACTGATGAGGTGTTGATGGAGACGAAATAAGAAAAAAAATATTGTGATCTGCGTTTTTAATTAAAACATAATTACGTACTTTGAGTTTTTGTGATAAAACAATCAAGATTAGATAAGAAGTATTTATGGTATACTGCATATTAAATACTGCAATTGTTCATGTGTATACATTATTAAGATAATTAAATATAACTAAAGTATTAAAGATAACATTTAAAACGATGGCTTTACCAGTTTTTTATGTTTTTTATATTTCAATATTCAAAAATGTTTTAATATTTGTAATGTTTCTTATTCTAATGTTTCAATATTCAAAATACCATTTATGTCACCTGTATAATATCTATATATTAATACGTGAAGCAAAAACTTTGTATCCCTTTTTACGAAAATTGTGCGGACGGAGGAGTATGAAATTTTCCACACTTATAGAGAATACAGAGAAGAAATGCACAATGCTAATATCTTTTTAAAATAATGTATAAAAGATACATTAAATCAATAAAGAAAATATTACACACACTACATACCATGTATTTGACGCACACACGCATGCATACTATTTATTGTCAAACTTTTGTTCTTGACGTCTGTTGTCAAATTGAGAATAGATTAAATATTATTTGTCTTTGTTAATATTTTTTATAGTGTAGCCTTGGCGAAATTTGTGATTATAGAAGTATAAAATACAATCATAATAGTGTACAAACTTACAATTCCAATTAATTATAGTCGAATTTCGACTACTGCGGGACCTCTAGTAATTATTATAACCTCTTTTAAGATTTATGCCATAAATCATATAGAGGTTACATGTATATATTTATTGTTTTAGTCTGAGCANAATATTTTTTATAGTGTAGCCTTGGCGAAATTTGTGATTATAGAAGTATAAAATACAATCATAATAGTGTACAAACTTACAATTCCAATTAATTATAGTCGAATTTCGACTACTGCGGGACCTCTAGTAATTATTATAACCTCTTTTAAGATTTATGCCATAAATCATATAGAGGTTACATGTATATATTTATTGTTTTAGTCTGAGCACCAGAGTAATATATTAGTAATTTATTCTGCACGTGATTATACACGATCAAGGTTGGGTTTTCAATGGGTGGCTTCGATCACTGCGTATTAAGCCGGCACACTGATGGCCACTCCCGGTCACCGTCCTCGTCGAACCCGTCGCTTGCGACGAAGGGCTCGACGAGCGAATTAACCCATAGACACAGCCCACTGAGTTTCTCGTCGGATCTTCTCAGTGGGTCGCGTTTCCGATCCGGTGGTAGATTCTGCGAAGCACTGCTTTTGCTAGGGTCAGTGTTAGCAACTCTCCGGTTGAGCCCCGTGAGCTCACCTACAAACGTTAGGGTGAAGCTGAAATAGCCTCTCAAGGCTATCAGCATAGGTAGGAATAAAAAAAAAAAAAAAAAAGATGGCCACTCCCATATTGTGAGCCCGCACGGATTGGTTATATGTAAAGGTATGCTACAAAGCAAAAATGCGTTTCAGATACTAGGTTTGAAAAAAAGTTAAACAGTTAAATTGTAATTTGATCCTGTATTTAGGGTGTATGATGGATTTTATGGCGCAGTTTCTATGATATTGTATTGAAAATAAAAACTTTTTCTACATCTAGAATTATGCCTGTTTTATACATGATTGGATATCACGATAGATTTTTTAATCATCGGATAATTGAAGACATTAGTGGATGAAGGGGTTAAGTATTATTTTTAAGATTTTTCAGTTTTTGCATTGAATGAACTTTATTCTTTATTGTACACACAGTTAATATTACAGTAATTGCGTAAGATATAAAAAATGGCGAGCTTAACTCAACAATTGAGTTTTCTACCAGCTAACCGTTCTTAACGAAGGAAAGCTTTAAATGAGTGGGTAGAAGAATACAATCTAATTAATTTACAATTTACAATCTAGACAAGAACTTAATAGAAATAAAAAAAATAAAACACTAATACTTAATATATTAGACTACATATATATACATACACACATAAATAACGTAAACATATACATACACGTACATATATAATGAAATACATAAATAAATATATATAAGTAATACTAAATTGAAATTGTGATGTACGAAGAAAAAGTACGAGTAATAAAAATTTTGTTGCCCGTCGTGGCCTAAAGGATAAGACGTCCGGTGCATTCGTATCGAGCGATGCACCGGTGCTCGAATCCCGCAGGCGGGTACCAATTTTTCTAATAAAATACGTACTTAACAATTGTTCACGATTGACTTCCACGGCGAAGAAATAGCATCGTGTAATAAAAATGAAATCCGCAAAATTATAATTTGCGTAATTACTGGTGGTAGGATCTCTTGTGAGTCCGCACGGGTAGGTACCACCACCCTGCTCATTTCTGGCGTGAAGCAGTAATGCGTTTCGGTTTGAAGGGCGGGGTAGCCGTTGTAACTATACTGAGACCTTAGAACTTATATCTCAAGGTGGGTGACGCATTTACGTTGTAGATGTCTATGGGCTCCAGTAACCACTTAACACCATGTGAGCTGTGAGCTCCTGCACTCACCTAAGCATAAAAAAAGTGTAAGATTACTTCGTCATCTACTCTTACCTACGCAGCATTTTTATTTTTTGGTAGGGACCCGAACCTCTTATGATTGGGCTATGGGGTACGCAGGGTATGTGGGACTTGACGGACTGTGGTTGGATTGGACGTTGAAAGACGGTGGGTTCAAGGATATTTTTAGGGCCCTACCTTCGCACCATCCTCAACCTCAGCAAACTCATCCTCTTCTATGTAAAGCTGCTGTGTTCATTGCCAGTACGTTTTTGCTCATGTCAATAAATTTTTATCTTTAATAATTATTATCATATTATAATACGTTCTGTATTAATTGTATGTATATTTACAGAGACTAGAGGTCCCGCAGTAGTCGAAATTCAACTATAATTAATTGTAAGTTTGTACACTATTATGATTGTATTTTATACTTCTATAATCACAAATTTCGCCAAGACTACACTATAAAAAATATTAACAAGGACAAACAATATTTAATCTCAATTTGACAACAGACGTCAAGTTTGACAATAAATAGTATGCATGCGTGTGTGCGTCAAATACATGGTAGTAGTGTGTGTAATGTTTTCTTTATTGATTTAATGTATCTTTTATGCATTATTTTAAAAAAATATTAGCATTGTGCACTTCTTCTCTATATTCTCTATAAGTGTGGAAAATTTCATACTCCTCCGTTCGCGCAAATTTCGTAAAAAGGGATACAAAGTTTTTGCTTCACGTATTAATATATAGATATGTATGTGTGTATGTATGTGTACATGTATGTATATGTTTGGAATGGTACACCGCGCGTAGTTCGTTTCCAAATGATTCTTGTCCACCTGATGGTAGTCTGGAAGAGATCGCTCTTAGCGATAAGACCGCCAATTGTACTTTTTTGTGTTTAATGTATCGCACTGTTTATTTGAGTCGACTATTATCAAAGCCGGCAATCTGACTTTTGGACAATGATTGGTAAATCAGAAAAACGAATTATTGACTTTGTATTCCATTGGCAGTCACAAAACTCTTCGGAATGACATCTTAGATAAATAACAGGTTAAGTATTAACCTTTATTTAATGCAGGTTTTGAACCGTATTCTTTGAAGGTGACGATTATATTCAAATCAATCTGTATTGACATATTAATAAAATTTTTTTGTCCAAATGCACAGATTGCCACCTTTGATAATAGACGACTCATTTGTTTTTTGGTGTACAATAAAGAATACTCTGTCTTTCTCTCTCTCTCTCAATTCTAAAATGAACCTCACTCTTTTCCGTCACTCATTACGAGCTTTTTTTTTTTTTTTTTTTTTTATGATTGAAAGTTTACTGGTGGCCCGAAGGCCTTTCCAGTTTCACCAGGACAGGTGGGCGAGCAAAGGCTCAGCCAAGAGGGGTGGGATTTGCTAACAACTGCCCGAGCGCCTCCGAAGGAGACCTAACAACTCAAGAGCAATTGTTTCGCGAATGAATCTACTACCGGATCGGAATCGCGNCACCTGGTGTTAAGTGGTTACTGGAGCCCATAGACATCTACAACGTAAATGCGCCACCCACCTTGAGATATAAGTTCTAAGGTCTCAGTATAGTTACAACGGCTACCCCACCCTTCAAACCGAAACGCATTACTGCTTCACGGCAGAAATAGGCAGGGCGGTGGTACCTACCCGTGCGGACTCACAATAGGTCCTACCAACAGTGATTACGCAAATTATAATTTTGCGGGTTTGATTTTTATTACACGATGTTACTCCTTCACCGTGGAAGTCAATCGTGAACATTTGTTAAGTACGTATTTCATTCGAAAAATTGGTACCCGCCTGCGGGATTCGAACACCGGTGCATTGCAACAACGAATGCACCGGACGTCTTATCCTTTAGGCCACGACGACTTCTTGTCACCTTCTTGTCAACTACATCAATGACCTATTACTATTCGTATTACGGATTCGATGTGATTTTCACTGAGCTATCGTGAGCCTCACAAATCGCTATCGTTGGCCGATCTATCTAGTAATTACTAGCCCCACAGACATAGTCGTATTTTCCCATTCATTACTTTCCAATATTATAATAGTCTGGGTTCTTCATATCTTATGATAAAACTCATTTATAATCAGTAACACCTACAATATTTTTATATCAGTTTCGTTGATAAGCGTTCACGATGAAGTCATGTTCTAGATTGTTCTATATTAAACGAGTTATTCCTAAGAGCTATAGCATGTTTGCTTGAATGAAATTACATAAAAAAACGTTCACACCATAAATTAAGTATCGAAAAGTTTTTCTCATAGGTGTATTTCGTATATCTGAATATATATATTGAAATGGCCATGACATACCAAAGCTAGTACGTAATCTTACAATTTTAATAAGATTCCGTCATTATAATTGTATTACCTGTAAATTAGTTCATACCGCAAGATAATGAGACGATAAACAATATAGTACCTACGAATATGCAATTCGTAGAACGAGCGATAATAGCTATCAACATATCAGCGCTCTGATACAGTAAGGACTCTTATCACGGTGAGTTCAGTGGTTACACGTCCGCACACCTGTTAACATCTGACATGGCCGAGTATCGCGCAGGAAAAGCTGGCATCAACGCCGAAGCCCAGGCCAGGATCCACAGTAAATACAACGATGAAATCGCCCAAGAAACCCTCGAGTGGATCAGGAAATTGACCGGCGAACCGGCCAACACCTCCGGTGACGCCGACAACCTGTACGAAGTCTTAAAAGACGGCACCCTCCTCTGCAAACTAGTCAACGAGCTTCAACCAGGCTCCGTTAAGAAGATCAACCAAACGACCATGGCCTTCAAGTGTATGGAGAACATAAACGCTTTCCTAGAGGCAGTCAAGAAGCTAGGCGTGCCCGCTCAGGAGACCTTCCAGACCATTGATCTTTGGGAGAGGCAGAACCTTTACTCGGTGGTCGTTTGTCTACAGTCCCTCGGTAGGAAGGCTGGTAACTTCGGCAAGCCGTCCATCGGGCCCAAGGAGGCGGACAAGAACGTGCGCGACTTCTCCGAGGAGCAGCTGAAAGCCGGCCAGAACGTGATATCGCTTCAGTACGGGACGAACAAGGGCCAGCAGTCGGGCATATCCTTCGGCAACAGGCGTCAAATGTGATTTTTATTACCCTATTTATAAAATAGAAACTATTAAATATGTTTTTTTTGTACTTTTTCATATGTGTGTTATTTATGAAAGGCGAGCTTCGTCTCCCAGCCAGCGTCACGTATGATTAGATAACGCAATGTACTGCATCGTCGTTGCACTCAAGCGTTATACATCGGTTGCTCTAAGCGAACCAGTGGCCTTCTAGTTGTTTTCTTTGTAATTATTAGATACTATTTCTTATCCGATTGTGTCTTAGAGTACTGGCTAATTAAAATGTTTTCTTTTAGATTTTTTTATTGCTTTTTCCTTCTATTTCTGTTTGATTGTGACTGAATGTTTGCAACGAAAATTTTGTACCAGTAGATATTATCTTAGTAAAACTTTTTTGTTACCCAATCTAGAGCATTTTTTTTAAAAACTCAAATGGGCTCGGGTTTAAAATGTGGAAATGTCAAACAGCTATTATTTATCATAATGATTCCGTGCCGATTCTGGGTCTGGGAATGGACTATGTCGTAAAATTTTCAGATTACACGGTACTCAATGGAAAATCATTTAAAGCTGATCGAATGATATAATTACTGGGGTAGCAAAAAAGCGTGTGGACCTCCCGTTGATGAACGTTCAGCGGAGTCCATAGATACTTTAAAATGAATGTAGACTACATCCTAACTCTTCATCAGAAACAGACGCAGCAATAAGATCCTTTCGTGTATCTCCGCCGTGATCCCGGTCGCCAGTGCTTAAATTATCCTTGTTTATATATTCTTAATGAAATATTTTAAATGCGGGTTTTAGTTCATTAAACCTCTAAGTAATATTTAGAATATATTTTCTAATTGTGTGCCTGTATGGCTCCAACAATAATCCTCGCGTATGAAACTAATAGTTTTTCAGTCCAACTCGCAATGCAATAGAAGTCGTCGTGGCCTAAAGGATAAGACGTCCGGTGCATTCGTATCTACGAGGCGCCGGTGTTCGAATCCTGCTGGTACATACTGTTATCGAGCAACACTTCCGGCCTCGCATAATAAATTATTTACGAACTTAGGAAATATATATAGAACTTATTATTCTTATAATATAATTAGTAATTTCATAATCAAGTAAATAGTTCATTCATATTTCTTTATACTTATAATATTTTATTGGCGTGTTCCGCTTGACAGCTTCCGGCGCAATAAGCCTTAATGTTATTTGTTACATAATTCGATATTATTAAATAATAATTGTACGTAAATAATCAGCAGAATAATTAAGATGAACAATGTTTAATATTACCTACTCAGTTTGTATTAAAATAGGTCAAGATGATTGTATAAATACCGACGGTTAGCATATCTCTGTTACATTCGTATTCTACCCACCGTAACGTGTACTAAAGAGAATATATTATTTCGTCTGGATGTAAGTTGTCTCAATTGTCGCCGCCACCCTGAGGATCCGTTTATAATACCGATTTTTCTAATGAAATACGTACTTAATACCTACATGCTCACGATTAACTTCCACTCTGGAGGAATAACATCGTGTAATAAAAGTCAAACCCTCAAAATTATAATTTGCGTAATTACTGGTTGAAGGACCTCTTGTGAGTCCGTACGGGTAGGTACCACCACCCTGCCTATTTCTGCTGTGAAGCAGTAATGCGTTTCGGTTTGAAGGGTGGGACAGCCTTCGTATACTGAGACCTTAGAACTCATATCTCAAGATGGGTAGCAGCATTTACGTTGTAGATGTCTATGGGCTCCGGTAACCACTTAACATGAGGTGGGCCGTGAGCTCGTCCACCTATCTAAGCAATAAAAAAAAGTATTAGTAAGGTCAAGTTCATATCGTATCTACGTAGGTACACGATTGCTCAAATGCTAAAACTATTTCACGCAAAACATTTCGTTATTAATACAACAACAATAGACGGACCGGCGGGCGCAGTCGTCACCCTCGAACCGGATGACACGGTCACGCGCTGACGGCCAGGTCGAACACGGATATCCGACCCCTTGTAACTAAAACTGAATTAAACACTCAATAATAAATATAACGTACTTTGAAATAGGATTTCAATTGCGCAAAAATGAGACTTAGAATTGAACTACTAGTTAAGACAACCTCAATAAAATGTAGTTATTTCCAGATGATTTTGTTCCCATAACGTGAAAGTCATACGTGAATACGGTTGTTCATAAAAATTGCACTAACTCCAAGCGTACGTGCATGTCCTCCCTTTTCATGCATCGATAATCCTTAAAGCTGAGGGTTGTGGCCTTACGAGGCTTTTAAGGGAAAATACACATGGTGGAGTCCCGCATCCTTCCACCTCAGTGCTTTTGAGGCATTTGAGGACAGAGGCTTAGTTCTTCGAGGCCGCTGAAGCCTTATTTGGGTATTTTTACGGTGGAAAAGTCGAACTTCAACTCAACCCTCCTCTTTTCTCATCTGAGCTTGAGATCAGCATTGGCAGAGTTATACATATGTGTATTCTTCTTCGTCGCTTTCTTCATTGCTGAAGGTCGTGTCCCTGAAACTTGACCGTTGCCTGTCTCGTGAGCTGTTTCTATCTCGTCCGGTCCTCAGCTGCTCGAATGGCGGTTGCGACTGGCAACCCAGTTAGGGCGGTTACTTGATCACACCAACGGCTAGATAATCGGCCGCGGGGTCTCTTTCTCCATTTTATTATTAATATGTGTATATTAATAATTAAATATGTGTATATTAATAATTAAATTTACCTATTAGATTACGAGAGCTTAGCGAGTTATTCTTTTAGCACACATTGTTATCGTTCACAGAATTGAATACTAAAGTATTGCACACACTGAACACGTCACCCTCATGCGAGTTGTTGTTGTGCGTCTTCAGACACCTGCATGCTTCACTATCGATTGTTTTAGTCACGGCTCAAAAAGACAGTCATCGAATTCTAGTTCTGAATGATAAAGAGCATTGCTACTTTGTAAATAGAATTGAAGGTCCCGCAAAACGAAAATGGGCGATGTGTGGATTTCACATCCTCAGAAAGACTAAGATTAGACTTGAAGAGTCGCTACTATTATTATTTTTCTAGTTTCCTCTCTGAATCAGTAATATCGATGATGCAACAAGATAAACTACAACGGAATCATCAAAGTGAAAACAATGCACCGTGAATTTTAATATTTGAAAACTATACAATAGTTTCTCCAACTAAATTATTTTAAGTGATTCCAGGTAATTTTCAGATTTACAACTTACCGAATAAATATATTGTCCTTAATTGAATTTTTAACCTCATACTATTTAAAGCACAAATAGTGTGTGACATAGACCTCCTACAGTCCGCCATTAATGGTGACCTTTATTCACGCACATATCGCCATCAAACTTCATCGATTGTCTACCTCTATTCCCTCGGGTACTAACTACATGCCCCGCCCCAACACAAGTCAATGTTTATTGAACTTTTACTTGTCTTTTTTCTCTACATAATTTACTCCAATAAGAAGAGAGAAAATAATTTCTGGGGTAAATATTCTGTAAAAGTGATCGCTTTCAACGATAGTATCATTGATATCTCTAATTTCAGTTTTACTTGGTTTTCAAACATAAGTGACTTCTTTCACGACAAGGACGTTATGTAATCAGTCGGCCACGATGTGGAGCAACTATCATGAAAAATCATACAAATATTGTGTATATTTTTAGAGGGTTGATACGTGGATAGTACCACATAGTTCAGAAAATGATCCTCAATTGCCAAGAATAGATAACCGATATGTGAACACATAAAACACATAGAGTAAACGAATAAAGCAACAATACTGGTTTTAAACACCAAATTATACCATATTTTACCAGCTGATGGTTACTTCTTATTACTTATACTTACTTTTGCATCGAATTATAATGCGTTAGCTTTGATGCATAGGAGAGTCATTAATATACAAACGAGATATAACCTCATGTTTTAAGACGGACTATCGCATTCACGTCATAGTATCGATGTGTTTCGGGAACCTCTTATCGCCAAGCGAGTTTTCTTTGCCAATACAAAAGCTATTGCATAGCATTTTTTATCAACTTATGCAATTATAATTAGACAATGATAATTTAATATTAAAACAATAATAAAACAAGACCACTTTATATTAAACATTAATAAAAACAAAACCTTAACTGTCCCCTTCACACTCATAAGCTAGACCGCGCGAGAGAGAAATGGGCAGACTTTTCATGATGCGCATGCAGTGTGACGTCCCGCCACGCGCTTATTCACAAATACTACACAAGCGCAACGTGTGAATATGTTGAACGCGAGCTACATGGTAGGCGGAGTGAGGGTGTTAGATTTTTTTTGTTACGGAATTTCATGATTCGGTCGCCGCCCGCGCTCAAGGCCCGCGATAAAAGCTATGCAATAGCTTAAAAACTATTACAATTTAAGACGTTCTGTGTACTTAGTGCGAGTTTCTTAACGTTCTCGATAGCGTAAAAGTGAAGCCAATTTTGTATGCAGTTGGAACAGCGCCCCTAGCGGCAAACGTACGCAAACGATCCCTTTTCATACTAATATGAGCTAACTTTTACGCCATCGAGAACGTTAAAAAACTCACACTAAGCACACTATTATTTCGTTGCATTTCCACAGGAGAATACGTTATATTTTTGTTCTTTTTAATAGTTTCACTGTCGTCGTTTTCTAATCTATTATGTTCTAAAATACGTAAACAGTGAAAGGTTACGAACGCATCGTCGTCACACGCTGAGCCATTAACATTTCGAGAATGATTCGGCAGCTTCAGCGGGTCGATGGCGGCTGACGATCTAATCGTTTAGAAAGCAACGCGATTTTACACAACGGCAGGTGCTGTGCGAAACGTTTCCGCTAACATTTACCTGTTCAAATACTAAGCTCGAACTTGTACAAATAATACTACTCTTCTTTTTTAACTGGTGGTAGGACCTCTTGTGAGTCCGCGCGGGTAGGCACCACCGCCCTGTCTATTGCTGTCGTGAAGCAGTAATGCGTTTCGGTTTGAAGGGTGTGGTAGCCGTTGTAACTATACTGAGATCTTAGAACTTATATTCATTGTAGATGTCTATGGGTTCCAGTAACCACTTAACACCAGGTGAGCTCGACAATCCGTGAAAGCAATAAAAATAAAAACTATGTTTTAATGCGTTCGCATGTTTTAAAGTCACATGTGGTCGCGATCCTCAGCAATGAGGGAACGATGAACAAGAGAGGCAAGAGTCGTATATCTATTCAATTAATAACTGGCTAACAATACAAAATGTAATAAGATACTTTGGCGTTTAGCTTACCGAAACCCATCATTTTACGGGTCACGGTACAGCTAACCGTATTCAAATTCATAGAAGATTTGGAT